AAAAATCAAATCTGCACTCACGCCCTTACACTATGCAATATAACGCCCAATCAATTGCAAGATTTTGTGGAGTAACATCATTTAAATTGCTGTATAACCATACACTTCGTGAAATTTTCAATATCACTCCTTTCCTGGTATCACTGTACCGTTAGAATAACAACAAATCATGTAAATTTTGTGTTGATCAGGGTATTGAGGGGCTGAGTTACGATTCTTTCGCCGTAGTTCTTTCGCTATGATCTTTGATTATCAATTTATTATACCGGTAAAAAATCAGAAGAAAAAAAAATTAAAAACTAAAAAGAACTCGAAAAATAGAAGCATAACATTAGACTGGATTGAAATATAAAGATACCTTTTTATTAGGATTTGAGTTGTTTTAAATGATCAGAATTTTTTTTTTCTCAATGCAATAATACGTATAAAAGAATTTGACCAGTTTCAACAAACAAATAATTAGAGATAGCAGCCACAAAATATGCAGTTAGTAATTATTTGATAATAATTTAACTAATTTAAAAAATTTTCGAGATTTTAATTATAACGAACACGTAAATAAAGCTAATCAGTCTTAGACCTCAACAATTTATACAGATATTGATCTCGCTTCGCTCCCTATAAAAAAAGTTAATTCGTGTTTTCTATTCCACGTTTTACCCATAAATGTTGCATATTGATGGAATTTATACTTTCAAATGACGGAAATTGTTGCAGATTACGAATTTTTACAGAAAATAAGGCGATAAAATAAAGGTTTCATAAATTTGGAACGGTGATTGCCACTTATTGTGCTTTGCAATACATGTAGCCTTTGCAGATCACGATGTTATGTGAAAATTAGAGGTTCTATAGATTTTAAGAATTTTACTGATTTAAAAGAGGTATCAAAACCGATTGAAAAAATAAATTAATAGATTATTTTGTGTCTAAAAACTCGGAAATTTCCCGTTCATCATCACAAAAATCATGTGGCTACATCATTTTGCAAAGCACTATAATCTGTTTCTATATTTATTTTGTAATCTGTAAAATTCTTTTACAATTGGAAACTCGCAATTTTGCATGTCATGATTTGCAGAGAACACACCTTTGCGCAACCGAAATACCTGATTGAATATATGATTGATAGATTATATAGGTTATTTAGAATTTCCACCATCGTTATCATGAAAATCGTAGGTCGCACCTTTATTCAAATCGCTATTTATAAATAACAGCAATAAAGCAGTAAATACACAAGATAATTATCAAAACAAAATTGCAATGGTTCCAGTAGTTGCATCACTACATATAAGAACTTCCAATAATGAAAACACTAGTAAAGCACCAAGAAGGGTTAACTCAGCAATTTCAGCGACACCACCAGTAAAAAAAAAAAAATCAAAAATTGATAACTCTGGTAATGATGGCATCACTAACAATAACGTTAATGACAGAAACAATAGTGAAAGCGCCAAAAAACAATGACTCTGATTATGGTGCCGTCACCACTATTGTTACAGGTTTCGCATACCAATTTCGTACAACCCTATCAAGAACGGACCTACTTTTAAATATTTACTAATTGATATTTATTACTTGGGGTGGGTACGTTATTGATAGGGGTGTACGAAATTGGTATGCGAAACCTGTAACTCAAACAACAAAACTCCAATAATAATAACTAAGCATTGATGACATAATATTATAAAATAAAGTAAATTAGTAAGAAAAAATACAATGTATTCCATAAATAACATAAATAGAGTCAAACCACTCTATAATCACGCCCTTGATTTGAAGAATTTGGTGCTTATAGAGAGTTTGTGCTTATATAGAGGTTAAATTTTATATGTATTATATAAGTTGGTTTTAAAAATTTATATGATTATAAGCAAATGTGACTATAGAGGTGGTGGCTACAGAGAGGTCTGACCTATCTGCTAAACTTAACAATTGTCAAATTTTATACGCCAAACTTATAAAAATCTAACAAAATATAGTAATACAAATTACCATAGATGCGTTTTTATTATAAATATAAAATAAATAATTCCTTAATATAATATTTGTTATATTTCAATAAATAAAAGTTATTTAAATAAATAATACTCTAAATCTCAATATATCTTTTTATCCGGCAGCTTACTATGATCGTACCACCAGAATAGTTCGAGTTCTTTTGATGGTGATTGCATCATCATCACCAAAAGAACTCGAATTATTCTGTTGGTTCGGTCGTCGTAAGCCACCGGATAAAACCGTTATTGGATGCTACGTACGCAGCCAGATAAAATAAATCATATCCAAATAATTCGACATTGGCTGCTTCGCATCCAATAACTATACATTATCTTGTTATTTATAAAAAATATTAAAAAAATAAGGTTCTCATTACATTGTTTAAGTTATTGATTAATCCTAAAATTTTCAAATTCTAAAACAATTTCTCTCGTATCGATAAGTTTAGAAATGTACATCGTATTATCATGTTTTTGCGAGGTAATTGGCAATTCTTTGGTTGATTTATCAGCTTCTAAGAATTGCTGTTTAATTTCTTCATCTGAATCAATATCTTGTTTGTTTAATTTAACATCACTATCATTAACGATTATAATTTGTTTCCATTTTTTAAGTTTATTAAAAATTCCAGCAGTCTTAGACCTTTTATTCATAACTGATTTAACATTACTATCGTTGGTGGCTATAATTTGTTTCCATTTTTTAAGTTTATCAATAATTTCAACAGCTGTAGGTCTTTTATTCATATCTGAATTAATACATTGCTTGGCTAATTTAACATAACATCTTGGCGTCTTTATAAAAAATTCAGGTCGCAATCCATGACAAATCATCGCCGCTAATTCAGCATCAAAATTATAGCCATCGAAAGTTCTTCTGCCAGTTAATATTTCTATCATAATAATTCCAAAACTGTAAATATCAGCAGCTTGAGTGAACTGTTCACCTTTCAAGACCTCAGGTGGTAAATATGGCAAAACTCCATAAATATGACTGTCCGGTTTTTCTTCAAACGATATTGATGAACCTAAATCAATATAGGCTTCATATTGTTCTTTTAGTAAAATATTACCAGAATGTAAATTTCTATGTATAAAGTTTTTAGAATGAATATTTGATAGTTCATAAATGATATCGCATAATATTTTTAGTTTAATTTGCCACTCCAATTTAAATATATCTTTAAGATTTTCATGTAATGGTCCTAATTTTGCGTCGTTTAACACTAAAATAAAATCACCGGTATTTTTATCCATTGATATGCCACGATATTTCCCAAATTCGTGATACGCCTTTAACTAAAAATAGTCGATTTATATACCATTAATTCATAAACAATATAAGTTTGCGTACGTAAAAAAAAAAAATACCTCATTTAAAAAAAGTTTTTTATTTTTATGCGAATCTTTTATTATCTTAATTGCAACTTCTTCATATGTTTCACATGATGTTTTATACACAACGGAAAACCCACCTAAACAGAATTATGGCAAGAATAGGCCAACGAATACAAACCTATCCAAAAAATAGACTCAACATGGTATGACACAACAACAACAGAAATTACACCTATCAAGCTAGAGAATATAATCAAAGAA